TCTCCCGTCAATCATCGCGAGCAAGATAATCGATAGTGATGTGATCAAAATGGAACAATCTCAGTCATTGGTTGCAAATGGACCTATGATGGCCAAAATCCACAACGATTCTGTGATTAATATCCATATTACAAGCCATCATTCAGTGGATTGAGCCAGTGCTCTAGGTAGAATTCATAAGAAACGATATCGAAATGTTGTGATTTCCCCTATATCAAAGCTACCAGACTCTCTGTAATTCTCTTTAATCATCAGATTCGATTTCATATATAACGTCTATCATTTCATTCATTTCGATTTGTGAGGCCTTCTGCAAATCTGGGATTTCAATTGCCCAAATTATTGCAAATTAGAAAATCTTCGTTCTGCACATACTCTCACGCGGTTAGAAGGTTCGAAAATAAATAGAATGGATGATGGCTTGATTCCTTGTTGCAAATTGCTGCAATAAAAGCTCAATGAATTACTAAGATAAATTCAATTTCAGGTCAGTTCCCTATTTAAATCTGCAAAACAAAATTGAAACGTCTGCAATTAATTTTCACTGAAAAACAACAACTCTATCACTTAAAACAGCATATGCTAATGCGGCCAAGTAGTAACTAACTAACACTGAACTGTGTTCTACATTTATATCGAAAAGAAGACATTTGCACTGAATAAAATAGACTAAACGTGAAAAGATTTCTTCAGATACAAATACGTAACAAAACCGGAGTCAGAACCACCATATGAAAATGAGCTTGAAAATATGTCTTGCGAAAATTTACTTTATCGGCAATTATGATTTCACCTTCACAGTTTGATTTCTAACAAAATGTATACTCAAACAGTGTAAAGTAAGTACGTGTGTTCAAGAGGGTAGTCAAGGAATGCGTTGCCTAATTAATGATGCAATGAAGATTCGCACAGTTGAAAATGAAGCTATTATGTATGTATTACGCTAATTAATGCTCGCATTTATTTAAGTGGAATATTTCGGTCAGTTAGTGATTGAATACCCGTCGAGCGATGAATTATTTTCCATAAGAACCATCCAACAGCTTTGCTACTTTCAAACGCAGCTGAACAACACGCTGAATTCGCTGAACATTCACTTGGAACAACCGCATTTTTGGAGCTTGGTCAATTACATGGC